GAGTCTATGAAATAAAGTGTGGGCATTCATCAATCGCTCTCGGAAGCGGTGCACATTCCATATCATTTCAGAACCACAGAGACATATGGACGTGTTTCTTTATGATACAATGTGCTGCAATGGTAGCATAAGTTAAGGCATGGGAAGGTGCCGAATGATTGACGATCTCTTGGTGCTGTTGGTATACCCCACCTCCACCGTGGATTTTCTTGGAAAACCTTCAAGTAGATGATGAGGAAGTAGGTGGAGTTTGACTTCTAATTTTTTTGAACTTCCCAACGGAGTCGTATCGCTGGTAGTTGAAGTGGGAAGGAGGCTGCTCAACAACTTATCCGGCCCTCATCATCATGATGTACCTCGCCTGGATGGCCTCTTCGAGTTCGTAGCTCCGTTCCACTATGCAAGTATGTAAGTATGGTCGCTGTGCTTTCCTATTCGCATATGCACTTTTTATAACACAATTATGTATTATGTGATAACACTGACGACACAAAATGATATTTCGGATGCCGTTTGCGCTTTCTATCTATCTATTACCCTTGCCCATTACCCTACAGTGCTATTCTGGAAGTTCCGCCTTTTTTGTTCCGAGTGAAGGGGAGAGGAACCTGCCACTACAGACTTAGCCTGCCAATCTAGATCGTTTTTTAAAACTGTGCGTGGGCCCACTCGGCCCACTCGGCCCACTTGTTACAGCCAAAAAAGCGAGAAATTCGGGAGGAAAATCAGAATTACGCGAAAAAAAAACACAAAAGTTGGCGTGGTCGGAAAAGTGGGGCTTGGTTTGCTATTGTATAAAAAGCTATTAGTATGTTCGTTTTGTGAAGATTGCATGTGAAAACAACGACGTCGAAGAATGTTATAGAAGTTCAAAACTTGCAGTAACTTCATTGGAAAAGTGCCGCGGTGTCATACTGTGTCGTGTTAAAAATCCTTTTCAGTTCGAAGGTGTGTGCAACTAGCAAATATAAAAAAAAACCACCGACGAAGCAAGGAGCTACATAAACAAACGTGAACCGCGGCTGAGAGGTGGGCGGCCATTGGGGGCGGGGGGCTTCCGCAGTACTAGTGTGGTCTAGTTATCTAACCACTTGATGTGTCCGTTTTGAATTGGAAAGTGTTCGTTTTAATTTGAAAAGTGTCCGTTTTGATTTATAAAGTGTCCGATTTGGTTTTCAAAGTGTCCGATTTGGTTTGCAAAGTGTACGATCTAAAGTGAAAATGGTATACTACGCTACTTCGAAAGATTAGTCGACCAAGTGATTCCCTGAATCCATCCCTATCCGGGTGACCTAAAAGCCGTCTTGAAGATAAGCGACTGAAAGATGGCTATTATAAAATGGGCCAGCAAAACTATACTGACCGCAAAGGTGTTGAAATGACGCCTGTAAAAACTGATCAACATCCTTCGAGGGGCTGATTCACTCAAAACTCTGAGCTCTTTGATCACATTTTATTCTCTTGATCACAAAAAGCAAAATATTGACATACATTTGCAAACCATTAATCCTTCATCATGCAGCCCATACACTCGAAATCCCTGAGATGTGGTAGGCGTGGCAGCGTTCTGCACTCAAACGTGACGGTGACCGTGCTGATGATGAGATATTTTCTTTCTTAGACATTTGTGACCTTTTCTTTGTCCGACACAGAACAAGATGACAGTCTCAAAAATATCCCATGAGTAACCCTTTGTCCAAATGCCACGCCCACTCCGTCTCAGGGATGAGGAGTGTACGATAACAACCTATAAGTACACTTATGTATATCCATTATGTTCCAGAAGACATCGTCATCTGTGTAACCTGTGAGATCAACTTAAACTACTCTTGTCATTTAATTCGAGAGGGTGATTAATGGATTAAAAGTCACAATGGGAGCAGTGGTAGAGCGAAGGGTGGTGGTGTCCACTTCTCCACGGGTATCACTGGGAACTGCTCGACTCTGCGGGCTGAGCTAAACGCGGACTTTTGAATGCAGGTGACAGCCCTCGTAACGGGCCGACCTACGAATACCCCATGTCACATCACAAATGTCTGATGAAGCCATATGTGTTCCGTCTTTATGCTACGCAGTTCGCGGGAGCGGGCACGCACCCGCGAGTGTGAAAAATATGCGAGCGTTTCCGGAGCACCACTGTGGACGCCATATGCCACTCGCTCTTTGCTGAAGAAATATCGTGAGAAGCAAAAGCCCATGCACGACCCTCATAGACCTGGAGGAAGCACTCGATCGCCTCCCAGGTAAAGTTATATGGTACGCCTTACGACAGCACGGCATTCCTGGAGAGTCAATAAAATTGGGTGTCCTCCTTTATTTGAGTCCTGACAGCCAAGTGCGCACAACTGCGATCACTGCGATAAGCTTCCCCTCACTACCGTGGTATACACAGCTCTGCGCTCTCCCCCCTCCTTGTCGTTCTCGTTGCATATGCCATTTCACGAAATCCTTAGAAATAAGTTTTTTGGACACCTCTTCACGCCTATGATGAGATGCTCGCCTGCAAAGATAAGAACACCCTCGAGCAACAGGTGCAAGAATCGGCCGATCGCTTGGCAATGTTTGAGTTGAAGTTGAACGTCAAAAAGGCTGAGTTCTTGACAAGCGAGACGGGGTGGATCAAAATTGATGGTTCTCAGATCACTCTTCCAAAAACATTCAAGCATCTTAAACCAGCAATTACGTCCGATGGTGGTCTGAAGTCGCAAGCGAGCGCACGTGTTAGTGCAACGTGGTCGAGATGGCGATCCATGCCTGGGATTCTCTGCGATCAAGTTATGTCAGAGCGCCTTGGGTCGAAGATCTATAAAAGTGTCGTTTGAGAAGTCGCTTTATTGTTCTGAGTGCTTGCTCGCAACCGAGGAGTCAAAGCCCGTCCCCGTATGATGGAGATGAAAATCTTGTTGGGCGGTAGGCGTTATGCGTATGAACTGTATCTGCAACAATGTAATGCGCAGGGACTTTGCCACAGCTCCTGGAGCAGACAAAATGCAAGAAAGGCGCGTTCGATGGCAGGGCCATGCGCAAAGGCTGATATTGTTTGCGAGACTAGCCTCAGCTCGAGGTGCCCAGAAAACGACCCAAAATACACCCCAAACAGCGCTGGCTCGATACGCTGCATACAGATTTGAAAATAACTGGAATCCACCCCCACCAGGCATTCCACCGGGAGAACTGGCGTCATCACATCAGAAGAGCTGGGCCTGCCACCATGCGGGACAAACGGCGAAGAATGAGAAGAAAAAGAGTGTAGAGCAAAGCTGTGGTCGTTGAAAGTATCTACTCGAGAGATTACTGTTAAGTTACTAGATACTGCACTGAACTATGCATTCATAAGAACTATGAGATTTTGCGTAAAAATCGTGTTCCGCACGGTCTATAAATACTCGTCTTAGTATTGTTCCGTATCCAATGCAGTTGATAGTGAATAGAAAAAGGCGGGCTCGTTCCTTCGCGATTTTCGAATGTGTCCAACAAGGGAAGAATTGTACTGCCCCGTAAGTTCAGCATGATCTCAGTGCAGTCGGAGGAGTAAGGCCGAAGACGGACTTTGGCACTTCTCTGAACTGAAGCATTCGAAGTTCTGTGATGGATTAATCGTTGAACTACAGTACAAACGGCAACCCAACCTCTCTGTCAGAGTGTTTATGAACAAAACAAAAAGCATCAGGTGAACCTCCCTAACTGAGGCGCCAATTTGATTTCTCTGAGCGCTTTCAATGGCTCAGCTCTGTCTTGGTGCCAATCCAACTGTTCCAATTGAGCGAATTAGTATCACTCGTAAGGCGCGTTAACTGTTGCGGCAGCGTAGCGTAGCGTAGCGCAGCGTAGCGTAGCGCTTCCAGCGTACGCCAGCGGCAGTGCCGAAGAGAAGATGCATATCGATCTAGCTTCACCAGCGTCACCAGCACGCTAAGCGTACGCGCAGCGGACGGCACGCACGCTGGCGTAGCGAGGGCATGGGAAGCATAGCTATCGATCTAGCTTCACCAGCGTTTCTCCAGCGTTTTCCCAGCGCTTCCAGCGGCGGGGCTAGAGAGGGGCTAGAGAGCACTGGACGGAGGAGAGTACAAAGTACTCTCCTCCGTTCAGTGCTCTCTAGCCCCTCTCTAGCCTTGCAGCGACGGGGCTAAGAGAGGGGTAGAGAGCCACTGAACGGTAGGGAGAGTGGCTTGTAATCTCTCCGTCCAGTGCTCTCTAGCCCTCTCTAGCCCGTCGCCGCTGGCCAAGCCGCTGGAAACCACGCTGCGAGAAACGCTGGGAAGCTAGATCGATAGCGTATGGCTTCCCATGCCCTCGCTACGCCAGCGTGCGCTAGCGTGCCGCTGGCGTACGCTAGCGTACGCCAGCGTGCCGCTGGTGACGCTGGTGAAGCTAGATCGATATGCATCCTTCTCTTCGGCACTGCCGCTGGCGTACGCTGGAAGCGCTACGCTACGCTGCGCTACGCTACGCTACGCTGCCGCAAAGTATAAACGCAGCCTCAATGAACGTATACTCGTTCCGGATGTTCAATATCAGATTTCGTACTGAAATGTAAAAGGCCTCTAGCACATTCCTAACTGAAATCTCCGCCTAGAGGTCAAAACAGTGCTTTTTTGTGTGAGATATAGTCGCTATCCATGCTGCTCTTTTCTACGTGTCTCTTGCCCAACGATTGTTGTCACAGTTATTACAGCCGTTGACGCGCGAAAAGACAGCGTGATGGTCTCGGCCGGAATTGTCACTGAGTCGCACGTGCACCGCCGACACTTACCAGCTGACACTCGAGGTATGTTTCTACTGTGGACGAGAACCACATTGATAGAGCAGCAATTTAAGCGAGGATTTTGATAACCAAATGATACGATTTTGGTACGCGTTGTTTTGGGCACACGAGATTATCGAATTCAGCCTAGGAAGCGGCTGGGATGCCTGGATTTCAGCAGAAATACAAACCAGTATCAGTATGGCCACTCGACTAGAGAATTGAACACATTTTGTAGCTGTCTTTGCGCGAGGCCGGTGGTTCTGGGGCCTAGCCTCCCGTATACGTCTAGCGAGGCTATCTTCCACTTAGTCCGGCATCCACTACGGAAACCCCTCCGCTCGACACGTACTGGTTTCCTGGAAGCCTATGCCTTATATCAGTCCGAGGCTGGGAGCCAGTTTCTCCCAATTGCAGCAAGTTGGTAAATTGACGTTCTGAGACGACTCCTCATCAGTACATGGTCAGTTTCCGGCTTGTCTCCCTCCACTCTCTATTATCTTAGTTCATTCTTAGTTCGAAAACTGCCGGCAGATCGCTAGGTCATGGGTCTGGCACGCGTCGAAGGACCCGCTCTCGAGCCTCAGCATTCCTTCGTCCTATTCATCGAGCCTCCGTGCACTCTTTCTAGACCCCTTCTGTCACTCCCACATGGCCATTCAGATCCCAGCTATGGTGAGATAGTCATCTTCCGGAACCGATCTTATGGCCTCGTCCAGGGTCAGGTAGAACTCATCCTTTGTGTCTCATCTCACAGTTATGATTCTGTTCACAGAAAGAACCACTCCTCGAGACATTCTGCTACCGCAAGTTCGACCCCTTCTCCAGTCTCGGGGCCTTAACACCTTTCCAGCGACCTTTCGAGATTTTCCTGTCAGCCATCTTCAAGGTCCTAGTTCGAACTAAGTTCTTTGGACGAGGTCGTTCACCCCTCAGTAGTCTTGCATGCTGAACACGGGCGAATTCTGTGGGCCTCTTCCTTGCCCTGGCATTAACACTGATACTTTTGTGAATTCACCCATGATTTATGTGCCGAGTTCTCCATCAGTCAGCCTGGTACTGAGTTTGATGCTGGTATCAGCACATTCTTGCAAGGCGTGGTTTGTGTCGCGGCAGGGATAGAACTCGTGGCTCAGGGTGCGGACATGAGACTACACTGCTAAAGACAATTCCCGCGGTCAAATGTTACGTGCAGAAGGTATTCAATCATGAACCAGTAACCCACAAGTACTCCCCAGTAGAGAAAGAAGCGAAAAAACCTTGGGAACACCCTGGACAGAGACCCCTTAGCAGAGGGGTCGCGCCTTGGACCTTGGCAAGTCCAAACAGTAGCATTCGACGTGCAATAAATTCCCGCAAGAGCACAGGAATCACCCTACGACGCTCCAGGCAACGCTATGTACACACGCAATTCCGCTTGTAAGCCGTTGTCTTGCAGAGTGAAAGTAATCGTGGTTGCAATGGTTGCAATAATCACGCGTCTCTAGCTTCTTTATCTCGCCGTTTCGAGTGACGAAAGTGGTATATTCTCTGCGAATGCGGACAACGATGCCAAATGCGCGAAGGCATTCGGCAGACCACTTGATCGCGGGAATTGTCTTTAATCACCCGGTTATCTCTGCCTCAATGTATGGTAAAATATATTGTAGTAAAGTGTAATGAAAAGCAATAATAATAGTAGAATACAATGGATAATAAAGAGAGACCACAAAGTGAAAGGAATATCAGAATAAGTAGAAGAAATCCAACCTTTCAGCAGATCACTCTTGTTCATGAATAAAATAATGGAAACATTTGAAAAAGCTCTGTTGTTGACGATTGTTTCAAACACCGATCGTGATTCGACGACTCGATTCGTCCGGCGGTCCTCGAGAATTACCTTAAACATTTGAAAAGATACTGGATGAATGAAATAGTTTTTTCAGCTGGAATCGTGGTAACTGAAGAGGAATGTTGTGTTGCTAGCATTTCTCTTCAAGCTCAGGACCTGCTTAGCCTTCGTCCGTTCTGAATACAGTTCACAAGCTCTGTCCTCTGTCTTTTAATGGCTAATTATGCTCATTTCTGCATACACAGCTTAACTTTTATTTTCTTGTTCTCACGGACTCGCTTAATTGTGAGATACTTCCTTTTTCTAAGCTTCGAATGACTTTTTCTGCGCCTATCTCCCTACGCACTCACTACAGCGAAACATGACTGTGGGAACGCCTACCAGGTAGACCTTGGTACAGTTTGTGGACCCATTCCGATGCCGCTTTGCTACTGTTGCGATTCGCAGAGTTGACGGGTCACTGCTCTTCACCACAAACAACAAGGGTTCCACCGCCTCGTCGCTGGTGAAACCTTTCGTGATTTTTGTATTTTCAATTTGATATTACCAATATCATTCATTGTTTTAGGTAATTAGGCCGTGCTCTGTCTGCATTACCAGTCGGAAATAAATCATAATCTCAAGGATGTGAAGGAGACGGCCAAAAACCAGCATTTTTCTAACATACTTAGGTGGCCCATATGTGACTGCGTTTTTCTCTCACTCGAAATTTCGCGCCGAAAGTGGAAAAGTTCAATACTGAATTTTTGTTAGAAAATTTTCCCGCTTCACGGCAGTGTGCTGAGATTTCCAGTACGTTCTGTTTCGATTAGATTTCAAACCCTCAAAATGGAGCGTCCAGTCTACGAAATCGAGCATTTTGGACACATTCCCCTTTTTGCATTTAGTTGAAAGGCTGAAACCACAGTGGCCGACTTGTTAAGTATAAGAAAGCGATGCTTTTAGGAAGGCATAAAACGCTCATGCGAACTTCTCACCGGACACCTTACGGTATCGAATGATAAGCTTACTGGATGAGTTAATGACAACGAAAATTAATTTGAGAATTCGTGAATCTTGAAAAGTTTGAGGAACTGTGGTAGTGAGCACAGTTGCTCATAGTAGTAATGAATGATTATTGTATTATGAAGTGGGCTATGCGGGCTACAGTACATACCTGATCATACTCATTAGAAGCCACCATGAACAGTATACTAGTAATATCAGTGAAGCACTGAAACCATTTCTGTCGCTGAGATCTTTGACCACCAACATCGATAAACCTAAACAAAAAGACAATTACGGAAATGGAACAAATTTTTCCTGCATTGTAGTGCAGCAATTGCCACCCTATATTCTCAGACAAGCTGAATTTATTTGCAAAAATGCATGGACGCTTATGAGAACGCGTGCGAGAAATTTTCGGTCGCCGGAGCTATTTCGGCCTTTTCGCATCTACCGTGCCGACAGATTATTTTTCAAATTCTATTATTCAACTACATTATCGAAAACAATAAACGACACTATACTATTGGTAGAATTGCAGAAAACTTAATGACATGAAACGGAAATAGGCACCTGAATGGAATTTTATTGATTTCGAAAGTGTGTTCACAAATTCCTCGTGTCGCTTTTCTGCAGTAAAGTATATCCTTGTTTGTGGGTAAGAAATTTGGCATCGATATTCGATTGATATGGTCGAAAAAATACTGGCAGGAATCACTCTGAAATGATCAATAAACTGAAGACGCTCGATCTCTACACAAGGAAAAATTAGGCGTACAATTTGGAACAAGTTGCGTTTTTCGTATGTTTGCTTCACGGCAGCGTCATTCCAAAAATCTTCGATAATTGAGGAAATGTCGACAAATGTTGTGAAATCGATCCCTTTCAGAAGATCGGCCACAGTGAACCTAAATATAGAAGTTTCGATCAGCTTCCAGAAACAGCAAACGAACAAAAACAAATATTCTATTGTGCAGGGGTCAAGAAGGGCCTAACATATTGCTGGTCTGACCCGATACCCACACAGTGAACTTTGCGGGACCACTTGTCGCAAAGCCTGTGCGCTGTAGTGGTATTCAGTCGCCAGCGAGAATATTGACAGAGGTAGGAATAAACTATGAAATCGAGTAACTAAATAAATGCTAAAACCCAGTATAAATATATTGGTCAAGTAACGTGCGTTTGCTTAAATCTCCCTTGTTAGATTATTGCCTCACGCTGATTTCGTCGCGAATGAAGGAACTCGGAGATGCGTTCATGCTCTTCATGGTTCCTTCTCGAGGGATGCTACGTTAGCCTGACTCCCTGTTGAGTCCCTACTCATCTTTTTGCATCTCTTGGCAGGCAGTACATGACACTTCATCTGTCCCGTCTATGTCGCCGGTGGCAAACAAGTTACTGGTCGGCTCAAACATTTATGAACAACACCCATTTTATCGTGGTGGCAGGCAGGCTAATATACAGTCGTCATCCTTGCACTTGATAGGGGCGTGTCGGCGAGAAGGAGCGTGCACACTGTTTGAAGCCTTCTCAGCCTTTTCGTTGAAACGCGTATGCGACAAAAAGTGATAGAAAACGAGTAACACGAAGGATATAATACAGTAATGTCACTTCCTGGTCTCAACGCATTACGTGCAAGTACGGTGCGGGGCGACCGCGCCGCACCGTCAGCCGCACGACACATTTTGACTATCAATCTGCAAGTGATTGACGACCTGAATAATAATGTTCTAAACAGAGCCCAAGATTTCAAGAAGTCCAGAGTCCGGAGGCTTATTTTTCATTTGCACTTGGATCTTTTACATTTTTTTGTGAGCTTTATAAACTGGGTCCGCAAGTCTTCATTGCTTCTTCAATAAGAGCCTGCTGGACTGGACTTCACCTCTTCAGCGCCGTGTGGCTGACCACATCTGGGTATAGGGGGCACTTCTTGCCGCTGGGAGAAATTTTCAGAAAACGCGACCCTCCCCCTAAATCCTTCCTCTGATACGACCCCTCCCTCCTTCTCTATCCTGCCTACCTCTTTTCTGAATTTTCCCAACTCCCTACAACTTCCTACCAGTTTCTCCGGAACTTCCCGAAAATTTTCTAGTTTCTTCCGGAGACCGTCAGCAAGCGTTTTACTACTTATCAACTAAACAAAATGCGTAGTTTTATAGAGTTTTCTAGGCGCGACAACTGGGAAGAGGGGAAAGAGGGTAAGCGAAAAGGTCAAAACCCGGGAAAATTTTTTTTCCGCAGCGCCGGAACATTTCTCTCAAAAGCAATTTCGGACTATCCTTCCCCAACGAGCCTAAACAAGCCTCTTCGCTGAGGGATGCCCTAACCGCGCACAACGTACTCCTTTGGGTTATTACAACAACTATTAGGACAGAGCCATTTGCCTCATCGCTTTTTTTCAGCCACAGACACAGTGTCTGCCTTCTGTCCCCAAATAAGACCGTGACGCAGAAATAAAAGCGCCACAACTCAAAGTATTACGTAAAAGCCATACTTCATAATTTCTGGAACATTCTTCTCCCTTTCCGGTTTTTCCCATGGTATATTTAGCTTGCTCCTTGCATCCAACAACACCCTCATGGCTGAGATAACATTCTGGAAGAATTTACTTTTACGCAAGTTCTAAACTGAAAATTGTATGCTCATAGTGCATTATTTTGTAAAGAGATAGTGGGCCTAAGAGAAATGGATGCTGGCCGGAAGGCTAGCCCAACCGGGATGAACAAAGTTCCTTGGACCCAAATTCCGATTTCTGAAAAGAAATGAAAACCTCTAACTTACGCCACTTTTAAAGGGCTCAAGTACTCCTTAAAAAGCACAGCACAGGCTTATTTGTATAGACGGAGTTATTTGGAACGTTGCGCTATCTTCATCGCTGCGCCAATCTCTGACGGAGGGACTACAGAAGAAAAAGTGTGGATGGTCCCACCCGTACCATCAGCGCGGAATTTGGCTCTAATGAGAAAAATGATTAACAGCAGAAATTGTTGTTCCTCCTCAAAACGCGCTCAATAACAACTCTTTATGAACCTCGACTGAGAGTAATTTAGGTTTCAGTGAAGCTGACCTGATAGATTTGCTGACGATATGCTCGGACTTCATCTGCTGTAAATTCTCCAGCTCCATGTATAATGTTCATTTGTTTGATAAACGTTGACTTTCCTGATTCGCCGGAACCTAGCAGGAGTATTTTTACCTACAACACGATTACAAAAATATATCAATATAATATATTACAACAGCAGTTTGCACTTCTGAAAACCCTCGCAAGCTGTTTGCAAAAGGCCTGCTACAAACAGCTGACCACTCTCAAGATGGACTGTAGTAGAAGGCGACTCCGCTTTGAGCTTCGGATGCGACCTCTTA